CAGACATCACTAATTGATGCCAGCATCCTCCTGCTGAGCAGCAGAATCCTCAATATAACACTCTTGTTAGTCATTAGCAATTACTAGAATCTATTGGAAACTTCTGGAAACCTCAATCTTAATCTCTGGCTCAATTTAATCATCTACTCAATATCCCTCACTGTACCCATTTTTCTTCCTGAAGACTCCCAGTGACTGAAGTACTCCCTTCCTTTCCAGTCTGTCAGGCCAATCCTTTATTAATTTCCATCCCTCTCCATCCTAGACTTTTGCAAACACAGGCAGTATGTATAATGGTTAGAGTGTGGCCTTCAGACCCATACCGCCTGGGTTAAAATCCCAGCCCTACCATAAACTGCTGGGCCTCCATTTCCTGGGGATGTAATAATAGTAATCTTCTCCATTGTTGTTATAGGGCTAAGTGAGCTAATGCACACACAGTACTCCTGACCAAAAAACAAACAAATAAACAAAAACCTTGCGAAAATAATGAAACAACAACAACAACAACAATGAATGACTTGACCATGCAGGTTAGAGCTTCTGGACTCTGCTTGGCCCATCCCTTTGCACGAGTCTGGGTGTTTCTCTCACTGATTTCTCCACTAGCTATTCTAAATCTTCATCACTCTCAGCTCTCAAGATGCTGGCCTTTTCACCTTGCTTGACAGTCCCTACAAGGACTCCCTAATCACAACTAAAAATATATTTATACTAGAGGCTCAATGCACAAAATTTGTGCAAGAGTAGGCCTTTGCAGCCGCAGTGGCTGCCTCAATCCCTCCCTCGTAGCTGCCGGTGGCTGTCTCGATCCTGAGGCTGCAGCCCTGGCTTCGTCCCTGAAGGACATCCGGTCTAATTAGCATATTACGCTTTTATTATTATAGGTTCTTTCATTCTTCTCTTCAAACTCATAGGAGGAGCTCTTCTATTTTCTGTCTTAGACTAATTATTTCTGTATGTTCTAGATAACTTCACCTCTTATCCATTTGGGGACCCAATTTCATCAATTATCTCTTTTCTCCATTCATTTCAGGCCTCAAACATGCTCAAATCTCTCCAATCTTAACAAAACAAATTAACACCCCTCTGAACTCTGAATCCCCCTCTGTTGTCCCACTTTCTTTCATCTATAGCTAATTAAAAATATATATTTTTATTGATTTCAGAGAGGAAGGGAGAGGGAGAGATAGAAACATCAATAATGAGAGAGAATCATTGATTGGTTGCCTCCTGCATGCCCTCCACTGGGGATCAAGCCTGAAATTGGGGCATGTGCCCTGACCGGGAATCGAACTGTGACCTCTTGGTTCATAGGTGGATGCTCAACCACTGACCCATGCTGGCTGGGCATACAGCTAATTTTTTTGACATTGCCAAATGTCCCCTGCAGCATACCAGATCTTGGTTGAGAACCACTGATATAAGATACAGTAATACAAAATAGAACACTGAGGATATAATTAGAGGCCCAGTGCATGAAATTCATGCATGGTGTGTGTGTGTGTGTGTGTGTGTGTGTGTGTGTGTGTGCCCTCAGCTCAGCCTGCACCCTCTCCAATCTGGGATCCCTCTCACAATCCAGGACTGCTGGCTCCCAACTGCTCGCCTGCCTGCCAGCCTGATCACCCCCTAACCACTCCCCTGCCAGCCTGATCGACACCTAACTGCTCCATGCTGGCCCGATTGCCCCTAACGGCCCTGCCGGCCTGGTTGCCCCTAACTGCC